ATACTAAAATTTTTATAAATTAGATAACTAAATTAGTACAATATTATTGATGTATATATAAACTATATTACATACCTTCAGAAGTTAAATTAGATAATTCATCTTCAGGAATAGAATTGAACAATTCAGTATCAATATTTTCATTAATAGAATTATATAGATCAATAATTTCATAAATAGAATCAGATGATTCAATATCATTATGAGTAATATTGTTGTGAGTAATATCATCGTGAGTTATATTGTCAAGAGTAATATTGTTGTGAGTAATATCATTGTAAGTAATATCATTACAAATAATATCATCGTAAGTAATATAATTGTAAGTAATATCATTGTCAATAATATTATCGTAAGTAGTATTGCTGTGAGTAATATCATTGTAAGTAATATTATCATAAGTGATATCATCGTAAATAATATCATCATAAGTAGTATCATCGTGAGTAATATTATCGTGAGTAGTATCATTGTGAGTAATATTGTCGTAAGTAATATTGCTATGAGTAATATCGTTGTAAGTAATATTGCTATGAATAATATCGTTGTGAGTAATATCATTGTAAGTAATATCATCGTGAGTAAAATCTGCTAATAGTGTATCTATATTATATATAAATTAAGTAAATTAATTAAATTATATACATTAATTATTTATAAAATTTATAAATTTTAAATAAAACCTTCATAATTAAAATTTGATAATTGATTTTCTAATAGTATATTTTCTTTATGTATTATGCTTTGCTGATGAAGCATCGAAATTATCGATAAATCTGAACAAGCTTTTTGTCCAAATACTAATTGATAAGGTGTAGTTTTTATTGCTTTACATATTTGTATATTCATTGCCTCTAATTTATATAATTATAATAAATTTAATTATTATATAATGGATATTAATATTTATAATAAAAATACTCACATATTACAAAAGACAATCCAACACTCCAATCTGTACATTTGGTTTCCTCCATCCATGATCCTAATTTTGATTGCAGTATATCATTTCCTTTTTCAACAGATCCTTGGCATTGCGGGTGTCTCAGTTTTCCATGTATGAATTTAACTGCTGGCCAAAGTTTTACTGTTTCCTTCATGATGTCTCCAACAAACTCACCACTATTATCTGTATATAAAATTGATAGTGGCCCATAATTCAAACAAAATCGTATAAAAATACCTGCAGCTTCCTCTGCAGTTTTTGTTTTTGCAAGTTCTGCATAGGAAAACCTAGTGAAGTGATCACGAATATGAATAATATAATTAAATTCTCCATCTGCTACAGCTGTCATGTTTATAGTATCAACCTTAATATTAAAAAATTTATTATTAATAATTTGTTAATATATATAATTATCAACATAAAATTAT